AGGCATGACTAATCAGTCAGCGAGAATGTAAGTGTGTGGTCCATAGTGAACACTTGAACAAAAATGTATCCAATATATGGAAAACTGGTTGTAAATGTAAAATCACCCTCCAATATCATCACATGTCTTGTTTCTTTAGACCTGAACAGTACAGTGCCCTGCCCAACAATGAATCAATCAAATGTTATTTATATAGCCCAATATCATAAATGAACGCACCGCCTGCTGACCAGTCAGAGCTCGGTGCACAGAGTCTAAGGCTATGAAATCATATTCTAGGCTAAAGGAAACACAGTTTAAACTGCAGGAAAGACGGAACCGGGCCTGATTTTGTCTGACAAACTTTATTCATTTATGGTCTATTTTTTCACTTCTCTCTATGATCGGCACCCGGACCTTTCGCTGCAGGTGCTTGACCAATCAATGGGTCATCCCAAATTATATGTGAATATTTAACATATACTATTTAACACAAAACCAAACATTTTAACGTGATTTTTAACTAAATGTAACGTCAGATGCCATGAGACTAATCATGATACCCAAAACAAAGCATTCAGATTGTTTATTTCACCTGCTGGCTCTCTTATTGGGCAGGGCTTTGTAGAGTAAATGCCGGGTAGTTTTAGATCTGAGAGGATGATCGTTCACACCTAATTAGAGTGGTTGTATCTGAAAAGGCTGACTTTAAATATAAATCAAGTTAGTTTTATATTTGCTAATGTAAGGGTTTCATTTTTTGGGTCATAATTTAGCAAAACCAGGGTATTATTTTTGGCTTATCCTATTGCACGGTAATGTGGTACAAAAGGGCGAAAAAAAGGCAATATTAAGCAAGAACATAAACAAGAAACAATTTACCTTTGTTTATATATAGTCAAACACCCTTTGTTATCTTGTAAACGCCTCTTTAAAAACATTTAAAACCAATAGACCAGCTTCTATTTCAGTAAATCTGTTGCTTGGAACAGAGTCAACATTAATGAGAGCAAAAGCAGAACAGAGCATGTGATATACATCAGGAGACCTTCATAAAGGGAAATCCTATGAGCTCATGGCTAAAATACATATTGGCACATGCTTTTAAACGTATCGACCCCATGACACACACTAACTTTGGATGGTACTACAGGTTTTTCAGTAAAGATGGGTTTTATAGATTGTTATAAATACCTATGCTACATATCTATCCCCAGGGGTTCAGTTGGGATATGTTGTGTGGGGGTGCTCTGTCCTGAAGGTGGTGTGTGTGACCATGACATTACTTGTTAGACGCTTTTATCCAAAGCGACTTACATACTCAATACTGTGAGGCAATCCCAGGGACACAATGGCATGCTGACTGCAGTGGGGTTTGAACCTGTGCCCCCCTGATCCGAACACCAACGCACTAGTGCACTGCCCCACACGCCTCCATGACCATATGTATGGCCAAAATGATAACGGTTATTTTGATCAATGGTGAGGATCTTTTTCAAAATTATTCATTGAGAAATAAAATAAGAGAAACACTTGTTTGTATTGTACAGTAGAGCACTGCTTTCATTTCCATCCAGTCCGATTCAACAACTGTGAATATACCGACCTTCGCCTGGATGAAGACGTCTGCTCCAGATCATCACCGAAGTCCCCTCTTCTTCTGGGCCTCATCACTGCCTTGCTCTGTTGGCGGCTCCGCTCTCATCTCAGATAGCTGGGCTTGAAGCCTTTGCCAGTTCGTCTCCTGCTGCTTCTGAGACTGCATGAGTGCTTTCATCATCTCAGACAGCTCCTCAAACCTGTCCCTTGGTTCACCAGCCCTGGCCAAGGGGAACCTGATGAATGCCCAAAAGACTCAGAAAACCTGGTATGACCAGAAGGCCAGAGAAAGAGTGTTTCAACCTGGTCAGAAGGTGCTGTTGCCGTTACCTTCCAGTGAGAGCAAGCTGCTGGCTAGATGGAAGGGCCCATATGTGGTCACCAGACAGGTCGGAACAGTCAACTATGAAATCCATATGCCGGACAGAACCAAGAAGCACCAGACGTTTCATATCAACCTGCTATAAGGATTCCAAGATCCACCAGACACCGTGTCGCAACACTTTTTCATACAGCCAGTGGAGGACGAGGAGGTGGCGGAGTAGTTTTTCCCCACGGACCTACCTGAACCAGGTCTATTGGATGTAACACATCTCCCATTGGTCCAGCAAGAAGAAATCAACGAGCTATTGGATCCAGAGCTTTTCACCGAGCAGCCTGGTTTCACCAATCTGGTCCAGCACAACATCTACCTCAAGGAGACTGCTCCCAGCCGAAAGAAAAGCTACCGTATCCCTGAGCGGTTGGTGCTGGCCCTGAAGAAGGAGATAAAGCTGATGTTAGAGCTGGGGATCATCGAAGTGTCAACCAGTGAGTGGTGCAGTCCAGTGGTGCTTGTACCAAAGAAAGATGGCTCCTTACGATTTTGCATTGACTTCAGATATCTTAACAGCATCTCAAAGTTTGACCCATACCCCATGCCAAGAATCGACGAGTTGTTAAAGAGGGTGGGACGAGCAAAGTTCATCACCACATTGGACCTCACCAAGGGGTACTGGCAGGTGGCACTGGCACCTGAGGCCAAGCTGCTGACGGCCTTTATTACCCCGTTTGGACTGTTCCAGTTCCGGGTGATGCCCTTTGGACTGCATGGTGCCCCTGCGACCTTCCAGAGGCTCATGGACCAAGTACTGCGGGAGTTTGCAACATTTTCCGCAGCTTACTTGGACGATGTTGTGATCTTCAGCCAAACATGGGAAGAACACAGGGATCACCTACAACAGGTCCTCCATGCGATCCAAGCTGCTGGACTGACCATCAACCCCCGTAAATGCGCCTTTGCCAAGGAAGAGGCGGAGTACCTGGGCTACGTCATTGGGGGAGGTGTCATCCGCCCACAGCTGAGTAAGATCGAAGCGATTACCTCCTACCCCGTGCCAACTACAAAGAAGAAGGTAAAGTCTTTCTTGGGGTTAGTCAATTGGTATCGGAAGTTCATCCCTCAGCTGTCAGAAAGAGCAGTTGTGTTGACCAACCTCACCAAGGCCTCGGTGCCAGCCAAAGTCCGCTGGAACGAGGACTGTGACAGAGCTTTCAAGGACCTGAAGCAAGCCGTTACCACTGAGTCAGTCCTTCACTCACCAGACTTTAATCAGCTATTCACCGTTCAGACAGATGCCTCAGGGGTAGGCCTTGGAGCGGTATTGCTGCAGGAAGTGGATGGGGAGCTGAAACCGGTGGTTTTCCTCAGTCGGAAGCTGTTGGACAGGGAGACAAGGTACTCGACCATTGAAAAGGAGTGCCTGGCGATGAAGTGGGCCATCGACTCCCTGAGGTACTACCTTCTCGGACGGCAGTTCATACTGGAGACAGACCATCGTGCACTTCAATGGCTTCACAAGATGAAGGACGCAAACATGCGTATCGCGGGGTGGTGCCTTGCAGCCGTATAACTTTACGGTCAGGTACCGGCCGGGGAAGTCAAACCTGGTAGCTGACTGGTTGTCCCGAAGCCAAAACGGTTAGGACACTGTGCTTCCTGGGGAGAGGAGGAAGGAAATGTGACGAAGGTAACTTCGTCACTATGGACTGACTGCTTCGGGCCGGGTAATCTTGCACATGTGGGTTTGCACAGGACAAATGTCACTCAGCACTTTAGTGAACAGTTTGCACTTTATTAGCGGGAGTTGCACAGTACAGTTAAACATTGCCTATTTGCACATTTTATACTATTTATTGATGTAGTGTGTATTAAATGATTCAACCGTATTAAATTGTGATGTTGTATGGCAGACGCTGGTCAGGCTCTCGGCTCCACCTGGAAAGAAAGGGGAGTTATAGCGAGAGCGCCAAAGTGTTGGTTTGTGTAGATTGACAGCGGTTGAGATTTGTGCAAAGGATATGTTTAGCGTGTAAAAGTCATGATATAAGGTGCATTAATGGTACATGTTACTCCTATAACACTCACCTTCGCCTGCTCTCCCGTCTCCGGTCCCAAGGTCCGTCATCGTAAAGGGTCCCCGGGGAAACAGCGGATCCTTTTTATTGTTCCGGATGGGGTTAAAGGAGCAGGTTGGAGGTGGGGGTGATTTGTTATCATGTACATTTGGCTTGTTAGTTTATAACGGGTTTTCTTTGCATACAGTAATTAAATATAATGTAAGTAAGGATGTTGTCATTCTCCACTAAATGTTTATTGTGACTAACTACGATCCTTATCTGAGCTGACCATCTCTGCACATGCCACCCCTTTTGGATGGTACGGTCCAATGAGTGGGGCTATAAAGGGTGGAATGTTGGGCTCATTTGGGAGAGAATAGTGTGGGAGACAGTCATTGGGGGATTTGATGTGGTCAACCATGTACCAAAGATGAATAAATACCCACACCGGGTTGTATCAAGACGTTCTGCCTCTGTCTCCTTACTTGGTCTGGCCGCTCACTTGTCAGCCTTCACAACAAAAAAAAGTTTGAACAGTTGACCAACATTTTTCTGTCATCCTTCTCCCTGATTATGAAGTGCTTCCATCTTGTGGCCCAAAAAGTGCCTTACAAGAGCCATTCATTCAGCAGCTCTTCATTATGTTGACATGATGGGTTAATTATTACACACCCTTAATGGGGACCTTTCATATCATAAACTGGGAATATTATTAATATGGGAATATATTTACTGACGGCTTTTCATGACCAAATTTGAAAAACAAAAATGTGTTCTCAATTCCTATTTATCACAATAGTAAAAACGTGGGAGGCCTTTTCAAATGTTGTTTCAAGACAACAAAATACCTACAGAAAATGGGACTCATTATTTTGAAAGGTTGCCATAGAAATCTCATTAGAGGTAAAACACATCAGTAAGAAGTCACTTCTTTAGATAGAAAAAAGTTCATTCCAATTACTGAAAATATCTTAATTCAAGTTTCAAAAAAGTACCGTAACAAGAACACTTTTTCACAAAGTCTGCTTAAAGTGGTTTCCATGGAGATGTGTTGTCAGCTACTTGCTCTGGAGCTCCTTCTGGTCTCCTGTCGGCGTCACAGGTTCCAGTGTGGAGCCGCAGCGCCCCCTGTCTGTGCAACGCGCTCAGGGTCCTGAACTCCAGAGGCATGGTGTGAGGGCTGGAGCTGGACGTATACTCGTACTTCAAGTTCAGAGTAGTAGTAGTAGTAGTGGTATTTCACCGGTTTACCCTGCGGGTCGTGTGAGAAGGGCCAGAAGCCGTACAGATGGATCTCATCACAGAAGCGAGTGGCCATTGTGTACATGAGGAGCCCAGTGGTCGGACGCTTGATGTGGACATGGTTGGTGAGCCAGTACCCTCTGACGGCGTGGAGAAGGCGCAGCGAGGGGAAGGCGGTGCGCACGTCCACGCAGTGGCGTTGCGCAATATTTCGGGGCTCCCCCGCAGGTCGGACCATGGGGCCCCGCCCCCTCCCCTAAATCAATAATAGAGTGACATGGGATAGACATCGCGGCCACTTTTTTAAATGTTTATTTTTTCAGGCATCTTTTGTAAACAGTAGGCCTATAGGTCAGTAGGAACTTTCTGTATAGATACATCTGATTTAAACAGTATAGGGTCAGTAGGAACTTTCTGTATAATATACATCTGATTTAAACAGTAAGGTCAGTAGGAACTGTATAATAATATACATCTGATTGAAACATAATTGACAAATACAAACAAGTGGCTGTGTATTTTTTGTAACATGAAGGTATATTGTAGAACGTTATAGCCTATCATCATTGGAGTTCACACAACGGAACGGTTCACATAACATTCTGTATAAAAGAAAAGTAGCCTACAAAAAACAAGCAAATAAAACACATCCTATATAGGCTACAAAGAGGATGCAATCAGGAGCTGCTTTGTAGGCCTATTATTTTATACGAGCACGTCTCCTGGCATTCTTCTGCGCAAAGGCCTGTATAACAGTCTTTAAATCTATACTGCGCGCGCGTCGGCTCTCAATACTAAGGACTGCTAACCCAGACAGTCTCTCTTGCGACATTGTGCTCCTCAAATATGTCTTTATTAATTTAAGTTTTGAGAAAGATCTCTCAGCACTGGCAACAGTCACGGGTATAGTTAAAAACAATTTCAGTGCTGTGGCAACATCGGGGATACTTGGCAAAATGGACTGATTTTCAATGAGCAGGGTTTGTGCAAGGTCTTTGATTGTTCCACGCTCAATTTTCTTTATAGTAGGCCTAAGAGCATTACGGAGAGACAGGATCTGGAAAGGAAACTCGGCTGACAGGTCGTCTTTATACTGGCCTGATAAAGCACTTGCGGACTCAGACAGATCCTTGTCTGTTGCGCGCAAAAGTTCGCGGGGAAGCAGAAAAGAAAATCGCTGTGCAACTTCGCTCATTCCAACAAATCGATTTTTGTTGCCTCTTTGTGCGCCTTGCGCGTCTGTCTTTGAAGAGACTGTGGACACCCCATGAGGATGCCAGGTCTTGCGCGTGCGCTTTTAAGCCATCAAACTCTCCTCGGAGTTGGGCAAGTGTATCGGTTGCGTTACCAAGCATTGCTGTCGCCTGTAAGAGGTCCACGTCTTTGCGCTGGAGAGCTTGGGACACAATGTTGACTGTTTCAAGGACCTTGCCCTGTATTACAGTCATTACAACAAACTCAAAGCTCTCCATGGCCTTTTTCAAGCCAGTCGCCTCGGCACGTTCCTCGCTTTTTTTGGAGAGCAAGTCTATCTTAGTTAGCGCTTGCATAATGTCAGCATAACGGAACCGCAATGATTGGACGGCGTCTTGTCTTGATGCCCATCGTGTCGGGCATAGTCTCTTCAGTGTAGGCTGGCCAGCCTTGGGCACTGAGAGGTGTGTTTCCAAAAGCTCCCATCGTTTGATGCTTCCACTAAAGAATACATATAGCCTTTCAACAGTGTCGTAGAAGTCTTTTATCTCAGGTATATTTTGGCATGCGTCATTGAGTACAAGGTTTAAATTGTGCGCAGCACAATGAATGTACACTGCGTTGGGCTCTTTATCCCTTATGCGTTTTTGTACACCGGAGTAGACGCCACTCATATTGCTAGCCCCGTCATCCTTGTCCGCGGCACTTCCCAAGTAGTATCCCCTTTCTCTCCATCGATTCGAGAATTTCTCTCTCTAGACCTGCAGCAGTTTGGTCTGTGACTGCATGGAAGCCCAAAAAACTTTCGTTTATTTTCACCTCTGTAGGGTTTCCATTTTCATCATTTGCTATAGTAACATATCTGAACACTTGACTCAGTTGGTCTACTTTTGAAATGTCCTGGGTAGTATCCATTATAATCGAATAGAATTCTGCATTCTGTATGTCTGTGATGATTGTGTCCTGCACTTTTTTCGATAGCAATGAAATTATTTCGTTTTGAGTTTGAGGACTTAGGTAGTGCACCTTCTTTTTGCTTTCAATAAGCCTTTGCAGAACTGGATCATAACGCGCCATAAGTTCTATGGTAGATAATAAATTACCATTATCTATATCATCTATTTTCTCTCTGTGACCCCGGAAAGCAGAGTTGCGAGAGGCCAGTGTTAGTGTAACATCAGTTATTCTGGTTAGGACCTCGGTCCAAAACCCCACCTCTCTCTTAAACTCAGATGATATTTGCGCGTCAATGGTCAGATTATTTTTCCACGTATCATACACGACACATGCTGCCAAATGAGAGCGAGAGAATTCGTGTTCCTTAATCTTTTTAGAGAGACCCTGCCAATCATTTATTCCTATTCTCCACGCTTGGTGGAGGCGATGGGCAGACGGTCTGTCACCGAACAGCCAGCACTGCTCACAGTACACCCGGTCCATAGATGGCGAGTAACATAGCCACTTTCGTGGAATTCTACATCCAATTTTGGATGTTTTGTTATAGAACTCTTTTGAAAAGCACCTTCCCTTCCCATCCCTTTTGAATGGCCCTTCAGGCTTGCATGGCCCGTTATTCAGAATGTACCGTTTAACATCATCGTCTAATAAATCTACAGGGAATTTCCCCCTATCAGTAGGGTATTCAGTCACAGAGTTGTCGCTGGCCAACGTGTCCCTGGGGTGGGTGGGAGCTGCTGTCACTGTCGGGGCACGGCTAGCTGGCTGGGCAACCTTGGCTATGTCTGAACTGGCCTCGGAGGGGGCACAGCTGACTTCTTGCTGACCTGCAAAAAGGAACGGATTATATTGCAATTCCAATGTAACCTGTAGCATACTGACTCGTACTGTTTATGGCGATTGGCGAATAAAACTTTCTATTATTCTAACCTGTCTCGAAGCGTGAGGCACGACTAGCTGGCTCGGCTGTAACGGGGCTGCTGGGGTCTGTGGGGGCACGGCTAGCTGGCTGGGCAGCCTTGTCTATGCCTATGTCTGAACTGGCCTCGGAGGGGGCACAGCTGACTTCTTGCTGACCTGCAAAAATGAACGGATTAGATTCCAATTCCAATGTAACCTGTAGCATACTGGTTATGGCGAATAAAACTTTATATTATTCTAATGTCTAACCTGTCTCGAAGCGCGAGGCACGACTAGCTGGCTCGGCTGTAACGGGGCTGCTGGGCTGTCTCCCTGGACTCGGAGCTGACGGCCGGGGGCCGGGGGGGGGGTTGCTAGCGGTCTATCTGCAGTAACGTTAGAGTCTACGTCTACCTTTGCTGCCTGCCGGAACAATGACCTTATTTTAGGTAGTTTTGCCCTCTCCTGTTCGGCTTTCGCTCTCATTTTGCTTTTCTGAGCACCGCTTGGGTAGTGGCGCTTCATTTTTCATGTTTACCGGCAACGCAACTAATGAACGTTATTTATATGAGCAATGCTTCCCGCTTTGTTTTGAACGCTGCCCAGCCTGCCAATGAACATTAGTTATCAGCCGGCTAGCCCTATCGCAGATGAGCAAATAATTATAATGATACACTGTTGTACTACTACAGGCAGCGTACACATGAGTAGCAACATAGCAGGGAGGGGGGGGGGGGCCCGCCCTCTGTACCCTGTTCCCGCGTTACGAAATCTAAGAGGATAGCCTACAGTGGGGGCGGGGCCCCCTAAACTCCGGGGCTCCCCCGCACCGCGGGGGGTGCGGGGGCCTCCACTACGCCACTGCGTCCACGGTGTGAGACAGGATGAGACGAAGGGCCCACTCCACACGCTCTTCTCCCCCCTTGGCCATGAAGGCTGGGATCCACAGCACACTGCCGCTGAGGCTCTGGAGACGCTGAAGGAAGCGGTCCCTCCACTCCTCGCTCACCAGGTCCTGGAAGGCCCGCTGCACCACTGAAGGGTTCATGGTCACCAGGTTAGTCCGCCGGCCCACGTCCTGCGAGAACTCATCCACTGGAGCCAGGTTACACCTGATAACAAAGTCGTGAGAGTCGATGTCGGGCCCACAGCTGCTGTTCAGCAGGATCCCTGAGTTCCCCACAATGGCGCAGCGCTTGTGATGTTGGTTCTTCATAGGGGATACAGTTGGCAAAAGACGGTAGAGATTTTCTGAGATGTTTGTGGTGCTGTGGCGATCAAACACATAGTGGATGATATCTCCCGGCTTCAGTGTACCCTTCAGAATAGAGATGTCTCTCTCTGGATCCAGAAATCTTAGAATATTCTTTCTGATGAGGTTGGAGAGCGTCTTGTTAAAAGTCCAGTTGTTTGAAGAAAGCTTGGCAGTGTGATTGTAGCTTGGACCGACGGGCTTTACATCTTTGCTCACTCTCGTCACAGCAGTCGGATCGACATGTGCCGTGGCCTTTCTATGTGGTTTAGGGATGGCCCGATGCAAGTTCATCTTCTTCAAATGTCCAGGATTTGCAGTTTCTTCCTCCACTTCTGCAATATCGTCTATTATGAGAACCACAACGAGCAGCGTTACAAAGCCGAACAACAGCGTGCGGAATACGTAAATATACTCTGAACAATCAGGTACTTGCACCAATTTAGTACTGGTTTTTGATACCCATCCTATTATTCAGTGACAAAAAGTGTAAATGGCAGCTTAAAATAATAACAATTTGTTTACATCATTTTCTTCTAGATAAGTGTATGACTGAACTCAGGGCCGTCCCTGGTCAACTTGGGGCCCCAAGCGACATTGTGAGATGAGGCCCTCCCCCCACCCACCGACAGGAGTGACATTTTTTTTTTTGGAAACAAGTACTTTGCAAATATAATTCCTGTTTATTACTATTATCAACAGTTTTTTTTGTATACAGTGAGGTAAATGGTAAATGTGCATGTATGTCGTTCAGTATGCGTTTACTGGTGAATACGTCTGCATTTCCTGGATGCAGTCATCGACAAGGTCATCGTATGACAGCTGCTGTGCCAACTGTGCGTTGATGCTTATGATAGCCAGGCCAATTAAGCGTTCTTGTGCCATTGACGACCGGATGTACGTCTTCATAAGCTTCAGTTTGGAAAAGCTCCTCTCACCAGACGCAACTGTAACAGAAAGAGTTACTGCAATCCAGAGATGTGGGTACAGTTCCTGTAACTCACTTTTGTGGAGAAATGACAACATCTCCAGATTTTTGTAGTGGCAGCTTTGGGAGGTTGATGATCTCCTGGACCAATGCAGACAAGACATAAATCATTCAAGCAGACTTAAGATATGTTTTGATCTTAGTCCACTACAGAATGAATATAGTGAAAATACTAGCCTCAAAAAGATTCAAATATAATTAATGCAAATAAACTACTTCTACTTATAATAATAATCACAATCAATTCAATAATATAAATACTATATTATTTTATTATAGTATAGTTGTAATATAGTCAAGACAAAACATGCTTATTACATGCTCAAAAACTGATATTTCTTAAATCTGTATTCAAATGTAGTTCCCTCTGTCAGCAATGTATCAACAACTACACACACATTTTTGCAGGGTGCGTGGAGAACTGCGCACAAGCCGAGCTCATAAGCCGAGGTCCCCTGCCCGAGGCCCCCTGCGCAATGTGAGGCCCCATGCAGCCTGCATGATCGGCCTGTAGGGAGGGACGGCCCTGACTGCACTGCATCACAATACTCCGCAGGGAAGCTGTAGCAGTGAACAAAATGTAAGGCTTCAATACTGGTAACAGGCGGTGTGCAGCGTTTTATCATTGAAATGTTAACACAATGGAGGTGAAAGATGTAACGGTTTTTAAAGTGGCGAAGTAAAAAAGCTGTAGTGGTGGAGTGGAGGGTTTCACAATTTGTACGGCAGTAATAACACAAATTGGAGATGGGTGTGTACATTCATAAAGCATACGAGTCATTTTGAGGAACATGTTATACTTTTATTTGCAATACAAATAAAATGGTATTGTATGATTTCCTTTCCGAGATGTGTTTCTAATATTTAGCTGATGCTCAGTAATATACGTGCATAAAATAGTAGACACTTATAACACAATCCAATTTTCTTCTGAATCAAAATTCAGGCTCAATAGTTGAATCAACACCCATTGATGCAGGATGCTTGTATTAGACTAAGAGGAACTGATCGTCCTCTGAGGGTAAATATAGATTGTGCATGGCTCAATATTTCAGAGTCAGTTCATGCAAAGCCTCAACTTCTGCTTTCAGTGATACTTCAAGTCTCTATTAATTCAGTGATGTGAGAAGTTCGGGAGTTTGGAAACATGAAATTCAAATGAATGTCATTAATGTACATGTTTTAATTACAGTACACTTCCAGCTGGCAGGCAATCTTTGAAAATAATCTGGCGAATATGTTCTCGTTTTTGTAAATCTTTAAATCAGAAAAGTCAGAAGATAGTGAAACCTTTTGGTCCGTGTTCACCAAAGATACACAGTGAATTAGTTGGTAGCTTTTGTTAACTCAACTCAAACCAGGAACTTTGTGTTATTAGATTTGGTTAGCTGGGGGTATGGTCACCTCTCGTATCTCATACTTCACTTTAAACTCGCCTTTAGTCATTAAATCTGACTCGGAGTCGGGACACATCTGGGAGATCATCAGATTTGTTCTGCGTCTTCTTTGATTTTGAGCCACTATGCAAGTCCTCTCTCTCTTCATCATCATCATCATCATCATCATCATCACTGTCTGAGTCATCCAAGTCCTTCTTCGCTCGTACTCGTACTTTCTTTTTCTGTTCAACAACTTTTTCTTCTCCCTTTTCTTCATCTTTCTCTTCATCTTTCTCTTCTCCTTTTACTTCTTCTTTAACTTCTCCTTTCTCTTCATCTTTCTCTTCTTTTACTTCTCCTTCTTCTTCTTCTCCTTCTTCTTCATCATTATTGTCTCCTGAGTTAATTCTGCAGTGAGAGGAAAAAGAAGTTTGATTTAGTGGCATCTGCGACTTTAAGTCTTACATGAGCAATGGAAAAATGATTGAGAGTTAAGGGCATTAAATGGAGAAGTAAAGACTGGAGCTAAAATGTTCTCATTAGTTAAGACAAGGTTGCAATACATCCTTTTGTCCACAAGATGGCAGACTTGCAGTAGAATTCACTGAATGTGCTTGACGGATATACTGTACATATTAACAATGTTAAGTAACTTAATAACATACATACGATGTAGTCCTCCTTGCAGATAAAGAACACATGTAACACATCTCATGCACACTGTGACGACACATGCTATGAATGGCTCATTAAGGAGTAACTAGTGGCAATTTGGGAATGAAACACATTGGCTCTGAAGTAATAGATTATCCCAATCTCAAGCAGGAAAGTTGATCATTTACTTAAGGTCAGAACACAGAATGTAATTATCTTTTTTACCCATGAATCTGCACACAGACAACATATACACACAAAACTAAATATGATTCACTCACGGAATAACAATTTTCTCTTTCTTCCCACACTTGCAGCAGATGTCTAGCTCCAGAGAACAGGGCTTACAGAGGATGTGGTATGCATCCTTCACTGTCCTCTGAGCACACTTGATACTGAAACAAGAACAACATACAAGCAGAAAGGAGATTCATTTTAGAATTGTAACCAAGCACAAATACCAAAATGCTTAACTGCACATGTAAATAGGTAACAACCATCTTGTTATAAAACAGTGTAATACAATTGTTAATTGTACATTAACACGGAAAATCATCGACAAAAAAACACAATTTTAAACTGTAAACTGTCTCAGACTACTGGTTTACACGAATAACTGCAGTGAATATACAAAGAATAGCACGGAAAATATTTAAAAAATGTTGACAATTTGGGTACTTTGTGATGGATGCACATAATCTAGGGTTACCCATTCATTTCCTATGGCGGTCCTTTCAGACAGGGAACACCATAGGTGTAACAAAGTTGACTAAACCACTCAAAATGCAATGAAAGTGATGATCAATAATGTTGTCTGTTGAAATGCCTACTGGGGAGGATGTCACAAGGCAACACAATATTCATTGTTGTTGAAAGTAGTACAGATTTGACCCAAACACAACAGGAGGGTTCAAAATAAATTGAATAGAAATAGGCATCGACAGTAAATATATACAAACTTGTATCAGCAGTAAATCAAAGTGTACCTTAAGCTTACTTACCATTTTTTGGGCTGTGTCAGTGACTTGTACTTGTTGTACCTTACTCTCCACTCCAGAACACCCTTACAGTGTTTACAGAGACCATCGTGGATCTTGGAGTTTGCTTTCTGTAATTCACAAAAGCAGAGTGATGGTGAACGTGTTGTAATGAAATGTTATAAGATAGCTTTGCCAAAACAGCATGCTTGTATGATTGTTATTGATAATAATGACCAAAGCAGAAAAGGTCCATTGTAAAAATCTGAATTTGACTTTTTATACACGATTTGTTCACAATGCTAACGCAATTTGGTTCAGGATGGCTACAGACTAACAAAAGTTAAAATAAAACCTTGTCTCCTAAAAGGTCTCAACACAACAGCATGTTGCCAACTCTATATCAATACACAATTTCACATTTAATGCATTTAAAGTGTCTTTAGTTGAGCATAGTGTATGCTAGCTAGCTACACAGGACTGTTTTCTTCACGGTTCATACCTGCACTTGTACAGTCGCTCCGTACTTGTTGTTTACGAAGGCCGTGTTGTTTTTATGCTTCTGAGCTCGCGAACGAGAGACATTACCTTTTTGAGAACTCATTTTATTTTCCAATTGTTTTAGATACACATGTTATGTCGGTATACAATTCAGAAAAGCATGCTGAAGAGAGAGCTACCCCGGAAGTAGTACGAGCACGTGATGAAACGTCATGAGGTTAAAACTTAAAAACACGAATCTTCCACTTTTTGTCAAAAGGGGTTAGATTAAATAGAAAATAAGAACACATTCTAGATTAAAAATAGATAACGGGAACTAACTTTAGTGTACGGAAGACAATTATTTTAAGAAAATTACGTCACCTGATTGAACATTAGAAACACCCCAGCCGTTTCTGATTGGATGTTGCCTTGGAATAGTAATATCTGATTGGTTCTCCTAAACGTCAATCAAAACATACGCCACTCTGCAGCGTCGAAAGGACCCGCCCATTAATGTAAACACTTTACACCATTGGTCGACTTGTTTCATCAAACTATTTTTCTATTGGTCCACACAGCTGTCAATCACTTCCCAACGAAAGCGGTGATGTTTCGGAGGCGAGCGTTACTGTTGTGAAGTGATTGCCAAAGCAACACGGACCTGAGACAATATTTTATTTTATAAAATTGACCCATGTCGCTGTTGAGCTGTTTAGACATTAACCCTTTGAATGAATCGTTTTCATTCACGACTATATGTTGAGAAAACCGAGCGGAAAAAAAAGAAAAGAGACGACAGTTCCTGAGGCTTCCTGGACCAGGAATCTGCCAGCTAATAAAAAAACTCACAGCTGTGGGTACCAACTGAGGGATTTACACACTCTGTGACATCGCCAACAAAGAGGACACGGAACAGAGGATAATCTGGATAACCTTGTCAATCTCCCGGCGTCGATAAGAAGACAAGTTGGTGCAAACATAACACCTGACTTCCTACAATACTGTCACCTGGAAATAGAAAGAAAAACAAAACAAGAGCCCGTGCAGGTAATGTCATCATTTCTCCTCTCTGTGTTAATAAGGAGGATATATGCATGCTAGTGGCTAATTGGCCCTTAACACTTTGCAATAATTATGTTATCCATTGGAAATTAAACCTCCACAAACCAGCCTAATCTCTCTGAACACATTTCTGCCCCTCCACCACCATTTTACAGTACATCGCTGCGGGGCTCCATTCTGTGTCCTCGCTTTATTTAAGGACTATTTTGGGCATTATGTCAAGGAAATAGCCTCCTCTGGCCTCCCCTATGCACTGTGTTGCTGTGTGCTCGTTTTAAATGTCAGGGCATTTTGTTGAATAAACATTCATAGATCACAAGGCGGAAATCATTTTTGGTCCAGCCTATTGTTGATGGTAGTGGCTCCCAGGTAATTAAAGTCACCTGTGAGTAATCACTATGTAAATAGCTTTTTTCAAGACTATAAAATGCAAACCGTACCATCAAAACCAATCCATTAGGAGGTTATTAAAACACATTAATCAGGGTTATGATGACACACAAGATTATTTCCAAGGCTTTGAATGTCTCCCACAGTAAAGTATGGGCAATTGCCATATATTTAAAACTGCTGTAAATCTGCCAGATGCAGTTTGAAAAAAGAAATGCATGAATAAAAGTGATTTGTGGATTCCTAAACACTTCACTGGACAAATAAATACATAATAAGGATTTAAAGCAAATCTCTGGTGCTGTGAACTGGTCATTTACTGCAAGTGTTTTGGTTATTAAATAAAAACACAAATTAATTAACTGGTCATTCATAATTTGTCCAGTCACTAGTATGCATTATGATGGTGTCTCCTGGCAACAGATTGATAGAGGATTGCACATTTGCATAGATTCGAGGATGTAATTACAAAGATGTCATATCGGGGTGTAAGTTCAGACTTTGAGCACCTAAATTAGAAATCCAATCTGCAACACATGGTCATAACCTGACTGTGATGAGTGTATTGGCATATGCCGCGGTGCAGAGTCAAATGACTTGGTTGCAAGAGGCATTCCTGCAGGACATTTTGACAGGTTGACCAGCGTCAGTGTCACCGTAATGAGTTCTGCTGCTGACATGTCTCGTGCAGGACCACCACAGCAAATCAAAAGCATCTGGACTTTCTTAAAGGTAGCCTTAGGTGGGGGTCCAGGTGCAGGGTGAAACGAGGAAGCATTTTAAGTCGATACTGTCTGAGTGGTTGTGGAGCCTGGAGACAGACGAAAAACTAACACTCAATTAGTGTCAGAACTATTGCTTTATTTCTACAATCCTGTCTGCTATGCATTTGGGAGAGGGGAATAGAGAGTGTGTAAAAAAGGTTTTAGCCCCCGGCCCCGGAAACCCCCTGCTATTCCACTTAACAAAGTAACAAAGACAAGTGTTAATGTTCTTGGAAAGAGCACATCATCCAAGACTTCGGTTTTGAAATTCCTCTTTCCTTGTGATAGATCTTCAGGGGATGCAGAGGCAAAATAAGGGCATAGATGCTCGTTTTGTAGACATTACATCTTAATTTCTGTAAGGCTAATCTTACATTTAATCTACTGATGTCCCTGTTTCTATTTGAACTCTTCTCCCTCACCCTTCCACAGTGTTTTGAGGATGAACCACTTATCCCTCAGTGAGATATGTTGCCTGTTCTGCTGTCCACCGTGCCCCAGCAAGATCGCCTCCAAGCTGGCCTTCCTGCCCCCAGAGCCCACCTACAGCCTCATGTCTGACGACAGTGGCAGCAAATGGACGCTGAACCTCTCCGAACGTGCAGACTGGCAGTACTCGTCCCGTGAGAAGGACGCCATCGAGTGTTTCATGACACGCACCTCAAGAGGGAACCGCATCGCCTGCATGTTTGTCCGCTGCTCGCCCAGCGCCAAGTACACATTGTTATTCTCCCACGGAAACGCAGTGGACCTGGGCCAGATGAGCAGCTTCTACATTGGCCTGGGTTCAAGGATCAACTGCAACGTCTTCTCCTACGACTACTCGGGTTACGGGGCGAGTTCTGGGAAACCCTCGGAGAAGAACCTGTATGCTGATGTGGACGCCGCCTGGCAGGCACTCCGATCACGGTAATTAGAGATGATGATGATGATGATGATGATGATGATGATGGAAGAACCTGTACACAGATGTTGGCACAGCGTGTAGAGTAAAGGATGCAGTGATGGATGATTAGTGATGAATGCATTGGTATGAGAGTAACTGAATAGCATGCAGAACCACATTTAAAGGTGGTCATAAAATAAAACCGTAATTGCGATTTAGGTGAGGATTAATTAAACCTCAGAGAATAATAGGTAAAGCACCTTTTTAAAGGGGCCCTATTGAGATTTTGGGGGTTTTCCCTTCCCTGTAGGGTGTTTTTATAGGTTTTTGTGCATGTGACATCACTACTCGACACTCACGCTTCTGTTGGCTAGCGCTCCAACATATTCAGAGTGTCCGCGGGGTCTTAAAAGTATTAAAAGTTGATGCATCAATTTAGCGAAAATGAAGGCTATTAAAAAGTATTAAACGGCATTTTCCAAGGTATTACATTTTATATCTTGTTTTCAATAAGTATATCAATTGTCCAAAGAGGTTGTATTCTGCAGTCTGCCTGAATGTAATCATTGCGTAGGTGTGTAGTGTGATTCTGTGTAGTTTATTTATGGCATCCCGTTGGGTTTGACGTCATCTGAACAGGACATCGCACGCTCACTGCTTGATAGCGCGAAGGTCCGTTTACGCCGGTTGTTAAACAACATCGTTATGGGGAAATGCAAGTTAGCGTCCAAATGGTTGGAAGATAAGGAGGAAGGACCATCAATACTGTACAGTGACGTGCGGTGAGGTTCATGGCTGGTGAGGCACTGACTCTTTCAGAGTCAGATTTACAAATATTATATTTTGACCTTAATCGAAATGTTCGGTTATTTTCAAAAGCTTTTTTAGTCTGATGCTTCGATTCATTTTAAACAGACCGTTCAACAAAAGGATACCCAACATCTAAATATTGGATTGTTCTTTCTTAGTAAGATCCCATGTTCATTACAATTGGGGTCTTACCTTGACTTGAAGATGAAGTCCATGCTATCCTTCTGGACAACAATCGCTATTACTTTTTTGTGGGCTCACTTGCGCCCCCTTCAGTGCGGCAGAGGTTATGGCTGCCTCCCCTGATGCTTTTTTCATTGCCGTTGTATGATGAGACCAGCGAGCCTAAATATCATATATACGTGAAATAAATTATTTAGAGACTATGGATGGCGAGGATAAATGTAATAAAGGGATCTACAAACATTACATTGGTGACATACAGTGAGATGGTGCAGGCATGCGCTTAGGGCCCGCTTTCCAGACAGTTTCTGTGAGGTGACGCATTCTGAGGTGAGGCAAAGCTCATATGTGCCTCACCTCACCACACAGTAACTGGCTTGAGCGCGCTCACAAAATAAGTGCCCGCGCTACATTAGTGCCCGTGCTCCAGCCAGTTACTGTGGGCTTACGTGAGGCAGAGCTCGTCCCTGCCTCACTCCTCATCGCTCCCATGTAGTTGTAGCGGAGTTCGGCCAATTAGCTGATTTTGACTATAAAAAGCGATTGGAATCATACAGAAATCACATTTATAACACAGATCTGTGGAGACATTTTATTATTATTACTATTTAGTTTTTCTTTAGTTGTTTTTTCCGTTACATTGGTGTATGACAGGTGAGGCTCTGCCTCCCCTGACTGCACGTCGCTGATATAGTCAATGTGAGGTAAAGTGTGTCGCCAACCAGTTAAAACTCAAAGTGGCGATGAGGTCTTAAAATGTACGGAAAGGGTCTTAAAAAAGGTCTTAAAAGGTATTACATTTGACTTCAGGGTTCCTGCATATACCCCGATATTGTACTTGAGGGGCGGGACATCTCTGAGCCGCTGACCAATCACAACATAGCCGGCCAGCTAACCAATCAGAGCAGACTGGGCTCTGGTTTCAGACAGAGGGTGAAAAGAGGTGCTGCAGCACAGGCAGTATGAGAAAAATAAAGAGCACACACACACACACACACACACACACACACACACACACACACACACACACACACACACACACACCGACTAGTGCAGTGTTTTCATACGGACAATAGAACCCCGTCACAGGCACCGAATACTAATATGAGCCCTGTAAGTGAGCATAACAGGGCCCCTTTAACTTTAAGGATGTGAAATAATTGTAACATGCATGCAGTTAAAGGTCAGATCTGAAAGGGAACACGCGTCGCATACTGTATGTAAATGCTATATGCAAACATCTTCTCCCCTTACAGTGCAATACATAGTTCCAAATAATTTCCCTCTATAGCACGTCATACATGTCAGCTGATTAAACCGTGACAAAAGCATCGTATTAATAGCAACTCTCTGTTCATGTCATTCTAGTTTGACAGCTTTGGTAGTGAGGGATAATGCTGGGAATGTTTACAGCTATGTGGAAGTTGGACCAAAAGAAAATGCAAAGCAAAAATGAAAATGAAAGCAAAGTAAGTTCTGAAGAAACTGGGCTGATGTAGACTGATACCCAAAATTAGAGCGCCACAAAGAGATAACAAGCGCTGTAAAAGGGAGAGATGATGTAGTGGAGAGTGTACAGAAGGAGCTGGGTGGAGGGGTGATTAGATTGGAACTGATAAGATCTTGGGTGAAGATGACGTGGAATGGACATTTGTGTAGGAATGACATGATGTTCTTGTAGGCAGTAATAATGAGCGTGTTTGCTGTGATTATGCTGCCCAGCCATATGTAGGTGTGTGTGGGCGCTCTGCTGCAACTCTGCTCTGCGGACATGAAAACATATCGGCCAATATTCTCCTTTTCTGATTTCTCAGTTTGATAAACTAACATATTCAGTGCTTCTTGTTGACGCTGTCTGAATGATTTGTTTCGATAATAAAACAAGGACCCCTGGACTCTTGGTGGTTTTAGATTGCAGGTGGTGTTGAGAAATGTAGTATCTTTTCTCACAAATAACATCCACTGACTTCTGGTGTTTGTCTTTATTGGCAAGGGTTACTATCGGCATTCAATCCCGGGACAAAACACTCCAGGTCCAATCGACTTGCAATGAAGTGAATAATTCAAATAAAACATCAAATCAACAGGGATCATTATAATTCATTTGTGTGCAAAAACATACTATACATGCTGTCTTCTAACCCATCAGACTAATGTTGAACAAGTCATTTGACCTGGCTGATCATCATAAAACACAATTCATCCAAACTTGACAAAGCATTTTAAAATGATTAAAAATGTCTTTGTTTGTCTTTAAGTTTGAAAGAGAACCTGAACAAGTAAACAAAATGAAAAACAAGTAGCTTAATCACCGTGAAATGTTCATTGTGTAACTAACCTTTTATTGGATGGTGCATTTGTAACGCCGACCATGACACGCAAGAAAATAAAGGGAAAGGTTATAATGAAAATCCTCGTCTACTGACAATAGAGAAGGAGTCAGGCAATAGACAATTGAATTTACAGTTCCTAGAAAACCCTTTTTTTCTCAAATGCATTATTGCTGTTTTCGAGTAGAAAGCAACGATAAAAAGACACATGTTTGCAGATCCATCTCTCCACACTGCAGCATAGACTCTGCTCTCAGCTCCCTTCCCCCAGATAAGGTTTGTTATACCTGAGCAGTGCACTTCAGTCTGTTTCTGGTTAACTAGATGTTTCTCACTTCCTTCAATCCATTTTTAAACCTCTCGTCATCTCCTTCTTGTGTCCTTTCTATGACACCATAGACGGACATTGTTCTACATCTTATTTTAGGACTGGTTTGCGAGGAGAGACTGTGTTTCAGGTTCCTAAAATGTAATGTAAACGCATGCAGTGCTGACACTATTGGTTCAGTGATCGATTTGTTGATCCACAGAACATTTAAGAACTATTTTCATAGTTAATTATTTGACTAATTTTCAAGCAAAAAATTATAAAAACTGACCTTTTCTGGTTTCAATGTCTTAGATATTTTGTATTTGACCATTCAATCCATCTAAATATCTTTGGAGCAAGCATTTTGAAGATGGGACCTCGAGGTTTGACAATTCATCGATTTACTTACGAATATGTTTGACAGTTGATTCATTAAAACACTTCTACAGTTGTTTCAGCCATATTCCCATTCATACAAGATACGTTGTCTTCATAAACAGGGAAGCACACAGACTCTGCTGAGGACACGGTTTTGGGGATGAGTGTATGGTGAATATGAAGGAAAATAATGTCTCTATTTTTTTGCATTTTTGTTCACATGAATGAGGGGGGGGTCATAAAAGTTCAGTAGGCCTGGTTGTTTTTGTATACTTCCTGCTGGAGGACAAACACATGACTAAGAGAGGAGATGGGGAAGATGGCTCAGGAAAAACAAGGCAGCAAGAGAAAAGCAAAAGCAGCAAAAATCCACCACAAAGAAAAAAAACTAGGCTTACAATACAGCTTTATTTATAGAGCACTTTAAACCTCCAGACCTGTGCTGTTCAGGCAAATAAACAAAACAAAACATACAAAAAGTAACTCAGCTCACACACCATAAAACAAGTATAAGTAAAAACAATAGACAATTTAAAAGCAATGCTCTAAAAGATGTTCATGTTAAGAAGAGGTGGGTTTTAAGAAGCGATTTAAAAGCAGGCAGTGTGGCGGCCTGTCTGATGTGCAGGGGCAGATCGTTCCACAGTGGGAGCCGCTACAGAGAAGCAACGGCCCCCTCTGAGCTTTGACTTGGTTCTGGGCACATTCAGGAGCAGTTGATCCGCTGACCTGAGAGGGCGGTTGGGCGTGTAAGGGTGTAGCAGCTCAGAAAGATATGGTGGGGTCATGCCATTTAGGGATTTAAAAGTAAACCAAAGGATTTTTAAATGAATCCTAAAGTGTATTGGCAGCCGGTGGAGCCAAGCCAAAATGGGGGAAATGTGGTCATATTTCCGTGTGCCAGTTAAAAGCCTTGCTGCGGCATTTTGCACCCACTGCAGACGAGCGAGGGAGTGACTGACCCCCATGTAGAGAGAGTTACAGTAATCCAGCAGAGTGGTGACAAAGGCGT